CTCATTACATTGACACATGCATTATTTGTGATTAAAATATTGGTTGTTGGTAATTAGCGCCCCCCACAGATGTATGATTTCACTGCGTCCATGGGAGCTCAGACCCCTCCTTGTGGGAGCTCAGCTCCCATTGGCTCCCACATAACTCGAACCCTGAGAAAAACTATTCTATCAACATATTGAAAAAAAAAAATGTTCCCATTGTTTTTGTGAATACAATAACAAGCTTTACAGCTCTTTTCCCAAACATATTTGAATTAAAAGAAATGTAGTTCTTACATTTGATCATTTGGCATTCAATAAAATAACTTTCCCAACTGTAACCATATACAATGTCAGCTTTAGGAAATAACAAAATGCCAAAGTTGTGTTCGGCTCTCTTCTTAACAGGTCTAATAATATAATAATAATAATAATAATATAATTTTTTTTGTAACAGAAACACAAACGTATAGAAAGTCTTCGTTTAAAAAGCCATTTTTATTTGTTTGGAAAAAGCACAAGCACACTTTGTAAGATATTGGAAAACACATTCATCCCTGATTTAACAATCCATTATTTAAAAAAAAGCTTTACATACCAAAGCAATAATTTTCACAGCAAAGTCTGTTCAATTAGTTCTAAATAAAATAAAATGTCAAGCTTCAAACCTACTTTAATGCAAAAATTCTATGAAACCAGTCCGACTAATTATTCATAGTTTATGGGATCTTAAGTATTATCATTTTAAGTATAATCACCGGTTTAAACAGCAGAAAAGAGAACAAAATTGAACTTCTTCTGATCTTCATAAATCACTGTTGCATCAACTCTCAGTAGATGGTGTTTTTGAGGGTGATCTTTTGAGCCGCATCAATCTTGAAATCGGTGATACCTGTGGGATAAAAAAGCAGAGTGAAATTAAAGCCACAGATCACAGAATGAAGGGTATGCTCTATTTAAGAGTCACAGTGTAATATGTGATGTTTGTGTTTGGGTGTGTTTACCCTCGCTGAGCGCAGTGCCATCAGAGGAGAAGTGCCAGTATCTGCGGTCGCTCTGTCTCGCCTGCTCTCCGTTCACCATGCTTAAGAAAGGTCCCCACAGACTGGACTCTTTGTCAAACCTGCCAAACAACATCAAATGGTCCTCAATCATGAATTATTGTAAGCTATAAAAAAACTGAGAAGCACAATAACACAGTATATGAACTCACGTGAATCCAACATTTTTCATCTTGAGAAGTCCAAGGGCCTCCAACAGAGAGCTTCCCTTTGGCACTTCCACAGAGTAAAGAGCAGCTGCTCCGCTGGACATCACCACCTCCACCGTCACTGTCACTTTGGTCTGACTCGGTAAAACCACCACCGGATCTATGGGCTCCAGCACCAGAGTGTCTAATAGAACACACACCATGACACAGCCATTAAGAGAACAGAAACAGATTTAAAGGGGACCTATCATGCAAAATGCCCTTTTTGATGTCTTTAATACATAAATATGTGTCCCCCGGTGTGTCAGGGAACTCACAAACCCTCTCTCTTTTCCTCCGCACCCAAATCTCTAAAAACGGGGGTACAACGGAGCTGATCCAGATTTGCTGCCGATATGATGTAATATCGGAAATGTGGGCTGGCTTTGAACACATTCATAAGCTCCACCTCCTCTTTTTTTTCTTTCAATATATATATATTTTAAAGCTTTATACCCAGAATCAGCACTTTAGTAACAGGGCTGAAATAGAGGGATATGAGGCACGGCTAGAATGGGTGATCTGTTTGGTATTTTGAGCGAAACGCTTTTTTATATTTTTTTATATATCTGAGACCTATAATACGGAAGAGGATTAGGGCCACAGAAACATTTTTTTTGTGAGGATTTGAAAAAAATATTATTATTTTTTGTTCTGAGAAAAAAGTCAGAATTCTGACTTTAATCTCAGAATTCTGACTTTAATCTCAGAACAAAAAAACATTATTTTTTTTGGGAGAAAAAAAGTCAGAATTCTGACTTTAATCTCAGAATTCTGACTTTAATCTCAGAACAAAAAAACATTATTTTTTTTGGGAGAAAAAAAGTCAAAATTCTGACTTTAATCTCAGAATTCTGACTTTTTTCTCCCAAAAAAAAAAATGTTTTTTTGTTCTGAGAAAAAAGTCAGAATTCTGAGATTAAAGTCAGAATTCTGACTTTTTTCTCAGAACAAAAAATAATAATATTTTTTTCAAATCCTCACAAAAAAATGTTTTATGTGGCCCTAATCCTCTTCCGTACTATAATATATGCCTAAAAATAGCATGATAGGAGACCTTTAAATCATGGTGAACACAGGGGGTAAAAATAATGCTGCTCATACCATCCTCATTGAGACACTTCTTGCTTTTTACTGTCAGGTATGACTTCTGCTGAAGAGCTGGCAGAACCTGAGAAATGGCCATGGCGTTATGGTATCTGTTGTTTCTGGCGTCTGTCCTCATGGCCTCCATCGAGGCAGCACACTCTGAAACGGGGGCCCCCATGGCCAGTAAAGCCTTGGAAACAATGACAGAAAATAAGTACATTAAGACTGCAACATTTTTAGTTGTTTAACGTTTTATGCATGAAATAGAAAAATAAATATTCTTACTTGAACTGCAAGGCCTGTGCTGAACTCATTGCCAATATGACCGTCGTTCCTACGCGAGGCCAAGAGCTTCTGCTGGATCTTGCTGAGGACTGTGTCAAGCTCCGTAGCATTCTGCACATGAGAACCAGCGTCCTTCACACACTGGAGGGCCATTCCAGCCATGGCATAGGTATCTAGGGAGAGGAAGAGGAGAAAATATGTGTAATTGACCGAAGAAAAATATTAACTTGAAGCGTAAGAAAAATAAAAAAATAAATGAGGGTTGTTACCAACTAGCGGATTCCTCTCACAAATAAACACACATTTTGATGAGAATACCCGATAGCTTAATTATTCGCAGTTCACTTTAATGAATTTTGACTATAAGAATATTTAAAAGAGCACATGTATTATAAGTCCTACTATTTTACTCCAACAGTTAGCAGCCCTACATCCTATTCCACATTATCAGCGTTAAGTAGACTGACATAAAGGGATTAATTAATATCATAAGAATTGGGATATTTTTTTTAACAGATTATAGAGAAAAAATGGCATGTTACACTCACCAGTACTCCCAGTGTCTCCGTGTTGGAATTGCTCATGTTCTGCTGCCTTGATGAGTTTGTTGCTGACATGGTGGTTGACCCTGATGCCGCTCACGCAAAGAGCGAGCACACCCAGAGAGTACTGGTAATAGTTGGTCAAAGGGCGGTGGCTGACTGTGCAAAGGAGAGGAGGGATACAAATAAAATGTCATATTAAAACATGAAATATATACACTAAATACACTTTCAACTCTGCTTTACTTACAGGCAATATTCTCTTTTTCTTGTTCCATCTGCTTCTTCAGGTGTGTCAGCAGCGTCTCACTCCTCTCACCGACGGTGAAGGTGATTGTGTTGAGGTCATAGCAGGAAGATTTCAAAGCCAGAGTGTACAGCGACAAGAGGCCCACCACCGACTGGCTGTTAGAGAGAGAGCTGAGAAAGACACAGTGACTTAGGTTTAGGTGAGAACATCACAGAAAACATCGGTTCAGTGGACACACAGATTTAGAATGGCAAGCAATTTGTCGTGTAAAACAGTGCAGTACCTTTGAATGTCATTGTGCAAATCATTTTTCAGTTTATTTAGGTTTTCGCTCTCCTTGGCAAGGTTGTGGAAGTTAGAAAGCCGTAATGCCAAGTGGACACTGGGATTGGGGAGTCCTTCCTGCGTCTCCAGAGAGCGAAGGAGGTTTTTATTGAGTGACATGTGCAGCTCACTATTAGATGTTTGAGTTTCTGGAAGAAAAAATGGTTCTCAGAAATGTTGATCGCAGACATAAACAATACTTGAGTATCTTGCTGACATCAACATGAACTTTCGGAGCATTGCAACATCAGAACTACAGCATCAGCGGGCAGAAGAACAGGAAACAATGACTTGTGAAAATGTGATATGTTCTTAGAAAAAGGTTTCGAATATCCAAATGTCATTGTCCTTGATATCTTACCCACATGACTAAAAAGGTGCCACAGGTCTATGGAATTTTTCAATTACACAACTTTTGTCAAAGAGTAAGCAACATGAAGGTTATACAGATTGCAAAATCAGTGACTGTCAAACTCAGTGAATCAGAGTTTGGTCATCTGGGGTTTCCACTGTTCAAATGAGTTGATGAAACTGGATTTGTTTATATGAATATAATAATACTTACCACATGGTTTACCAGAGGCAAAAGCCAGTAGTCCTGCGACTATTACTAAAGACAGCATTCTGTGCAACCTGTTGGATAATACAAACAGTGGAAATACATAAATATAAACGCCTCATAGGTTAAGATAACAACACAGATATACTGTAAAATGATCCAGACATTTTTCTTAGAAATCCCGTTTTCACACATTTGAGGAAGGCAGGTAAACAGATTTCAAACCCTAAACATGAAAATAATTGCAAAACACACATGGATAAGGTATATACATATTTTTAGCGATTTGCTGTAAATATGATAAGATCGTTATTAAAACAGTATCACAGCAGATAAGTCATTAGCTTGTAAGCTTTTACATGCAGTAAACAGTAGTGTCTGACCTCATCAGGAACGACTCCAGTGTGAAGAATAAACGCTGAGTAAAGTACAGAGGCAGAGAAAACAGCTCTAGTATTTCACTCTGTCACATGACCGGTCATTTGAGATGACAACGCGATGATAAAAGCAAGTGGGAAGCTTTTAAACACAGGCTGTGGGCCGGACTATAATCGGGATGTTGAGGTATTTATCTTGTCATCACATATTCTCTTCGGTAATACGAGCATACAAAACAAGAATAGGTGTTTATCTTGCTTTACACAAATCCAGTCAGTATCTGGAAACTGACATTTTAACTAATGTTTGCTAAGGTAAGTAGCAACAACTAGTGCTAACGTTTCAATAAAACACCACTTTGTTAACGTTTCTTGTGTATATTAACACAGACTCTGTTGTAAGCAGTGGTGTACGAAGTATTTATAGGCTTTTTCTGAGTAAAAGTACCAATACATTATTGTCAAAATACTCCATTGCAAGTTAAAGTCCTCCATTCAAAATCTTACTTGAGTAAAAGTGCAAAAGTTTTATCAGCAAAATGTAATTAAAGTATCAAAAGTAATAATTGTGCATACAAATTGCCTTTATGTGTGTATGTAACATATCTGCATTACTGTATGTGACATTTCTAGAAAATGTTGTTGCATCAGCATTTTACTGTTGTAGACAAACAAAGTTTTGAATGAGTTTTTGTAAAATATTCTAATTATTTGACTCTTTCGTGACTTAGTGTTAGTCCACTAGTTACATTTTTAGAGATGCATTTTGTTAAAAGTAGCTAAAGCTGTTAAATACATTTAGTGGTATACAATTACATGATTTCCCGTTTAAATGTAGAAGGGTATACGTTTAAATTAGCATATAATGGAAATACTCAAGTAAAGTACAAATACCTCAAAGCAGTAGCCTACTTGAGGAAATCTACTTTTTAGTGACTCCCAATCTCTAAATAAGTCGTTTGTAACTACAATTCCCACAATGCACCTGACGTAACACGCACTTTATGGAGCCTCGGCGACTTCTAACGCTACTCACTTTTTCAGAATAGCAAGCTAACGTCAGATTGACCCAGCCTACCATTCAAGCACTTCACCCCATAAGGACTTTTTGTTATGTGGAAGCTATTTCTGCTTTAACATGTTATCAGTGTAATGTCGGTGAGACCATGTAGAGCCTGTTGTCGCGAGCTAATGGGATTATTCCAAAGGGGAAACTGAAGATAGCTTTCAACAACAACAACAACAACAACAAGGCGAAGGGGCAGAGCAGCTGCACAGGTCGGTCTATAATGACTAAAACTAACGTTACATATCTGGTTTAGTTATTCAAAGTTGATTTTCAGCGTAGGGATACATCTGTCATTGTGTATTACTGTGTCATGGTTTAATTATAGCCATTTTACCCGTAGCGTTACAGGCAACAGTGGCGTTGTAGCTAGCTAGATAACCAGCGAGCTGTCCATGTGCACACTGAGTTATACCTTGTTGTGCGACGTAGGTAAAAGACAATGTCTTCAACTGTTTAGCTGATTAGTGTCAATATTTTATAGCTATCGACCCTTGTGTATCTTCATGTATCACCCTGTTTCCCCACGCAGTGAGCTGGGGTTTCTGCCAGCCATGTATTCGTTTTCAGGCCCCACAAGCTATCCTGAATTTGACCTCGGATCTCCAAGTACTTCTGGCCACCTACAGAGAGCACCTCTGTCGAACAGGTATGTAGCTGCTGCTCTGGCAAGTGTACATTCCCTACTTGCATCTGGCATTACATTGCATTTAGTTGACGCTTTTATCCAAACCGAATTAAATGCAATAAACCATACAGTTTCAAACTAAGGTCAATAAGAAAAGTGCTGACATATTCACTTCAAACAAGCAAGAACATTGTTAGTGCTGATGAATAAGTTAAACTATTAGGTGCCACTTTTTTTCATAAATACAATGGCAACATGGGAAATATGTTTTCAATCTGAACGGCGGTATATAGTATCTTAACACACCTGTCTCTGTCCCAAAGCAGCTGGGAGACGAGATGCCTCAGGAAGCACAGGAGGAGAGTTGATGATGAGTAAGTAAAATATGCAAAACAGTTTTACTTACCATTTCACAATGCCTTGAAAGTCAAAATAAGTCAATATCTTGCTTTTATCTCAGAGGATGCAGTGCCAAAAGGAGGAGGTTAATGTTCGAGGCAGAAGTGGACATTTCAGAGAACTCCAACACTAGCTCTCATCATGACTGGCCTTCAGCGCCCAGCCGCCCTCCTCTGCCTGCACAGCCCAGCAGTTCTGCCCCCCCACAGCCCTGCCCAGCGCCCCACAGCCCGCAGCCCTCCTCCACGCTGCCCCGACCCGATCCAGAGAGCTCCTGCATGGAGATAGAGGCCGCTCAGAGGAGACTACAGGAGATCGAAGACAGGTATGCAAGAGGCACCAAAAAGCCACCAACTATCTGACTGCTCACTGAATTAGACCTTTCACTCACACCTTATAAAGAAAAGTCCTGCCTCCAATTAGCCCACACATATTACACATTTCTTAGACATTCTGTGTTAATAGGACACACTGTGAAATGATTAAGTGCTGTATTGCAATTTAACACACTTATGAATTCAGGTGTAAATGTTCACAGATAATTGTCACCCTGGAAACGTCACAAATGTGTTACTGATGAATTGACTTTTATTAGGCTGACATATTCTGCTTTAAAATACAAAGTTAATATACTTATATTGGAGGTGTGTGGCGCAGTGGATAGAGCCTTGGTGTTGGGATCAGGGGATCACAGGTTCAAACCCCAATGCAGTCAGTATGTCGTTGTGTCCCTGTATCCCCAAATTGCTCCTGTGGGGATTGAGTATGGAAGTCGCTTTGGATAAAAGCGTCTAACAAGTCACATGTAATGTCATTTGTTTTAAGGTTTTGTTATAAGTGTAACTTTGCTTCCCTGGTCAGAAACTATATACATGTGTGATCATTCAATATTGTCGTTACTTGTCTCGTCATTTGGTTTTGTGGAAAACATTTTTATTAAGATATTGTCGGTCCAACTTCTTATGTGTCATGAGCTTGTGTCACCATTCAGAGGTGGTGATAGTATTACAGTATATGTTGTTATCACACGCAAAGGTGACATCATAACAGACTGTAGGCATTAAGCAAATACTGTGATCAGGATAACGCTGGAGGATGACGATGAGGATGAGGATCTCGATGTAGAGCCCGCCCCCAGACGACCAGTGCTGGTGATGTCCGACAGTCTGAAGGAGGGTCTGCAGCGCGGCATCAGTGACATCCTGCCGCACACAGTGGCCCAGTCTGTGTACGTATCTTCATTCTGTTACTAAAACGCTTAATGTCTCATGAAGTTATAGGCTTCTTGTTCCGCTGTTGCATACAAGTACAAAAGTATTATCAGCAAAATGCACGTAAAGTACAAACATGTATTGGGCAGAAAAATGGCCTTTACATGTGTATATCATTATATTTATAAATGTGATATTTCTAGATAGTATTGTTGCATCAAGTAGCATGTTACTGTTGTAGACAAACATAGATCTGGTTGACTTTTTGTAAAATACTTTTATATTTTGACTCTTTTGTGACTTAAAGAGTTAGTCCACTAGTTTATATTTAAGAGATGCATTGTGCTAAAAGTAGCTAAAGCTATTAAATACATGTAGTGGAGTAAAATGACGTTATTTCCCTTTTTAAATGTAGGAGTTTAGATGATCATAAAATCTCACCTAGTGCTCCTCATGTCTCTTTAGGAGCCAGTCCTGCATGGAGCTGGTGTTGTGGCGGCCTCCAGAAGATCCCTTCTGTCGGAAGCGAAAGGTCTCTTTACAGAAACAGCATAAAAAGCAGACTGTGTCTCGGCTCCCCCCGACTCCCTGTCCCTCTCCCACCCCTCACCCCCCCCTGAGCGCCTCCAGCCCGCCTGCAGACACACACTCCGCTCTGTACAGCTTCCCTGTAGCCCTCACCTCTGGAGAGGAGGACATGGAGATGTGATGGTGCTTGATGATCGAGCAGCATGCCAAAGTAAAAGACTTGAAATGAAGTCGACAGAAGACTATGAAGGACTTGGAACCACTTGAAATTGGTCAGTTCGGCTTAACATAAATATTTCACGTTTTGCTTTACAGTCACGCCGTTGAGGTTTTTTGACTATAACCCCAATCAACTATGAAAGATGTAACAATAAGGCTGACCTTACCTAGTTTTATTCATTTCAATGTCTCAAGACATGATGTCAAGATACATTTGGCAGCCTTACCCAACTGACTTACAGAATTAACCTTTGCCCTTACAAGTGACATCCTTTGTACAGCATTTTTGCCAAATCTTCTCCAACAACTCACTGATGTGCTGTAAATAACTTTGATCTTTGTTAAACTTCAGTGTGCAGCACCTGAGTTTTGTACAGTTTTTCTATGTTTAGCTTCTGGCATTTACCAGGACATAAAAGTTTGTTTGTGTGTTCATGTTTGCTCATAGCATGACTTCCTGTTCACTGTTTTTGTGGTAGGAATATTATCCACCCATAGTTGTTAGCAAGTAAGTAAAGAAGTCATGGAAATGCACCTTTAATGAGTTGATTGTATTTTCATACTGTATATCTCCATTACCACAATTGCAACTAGCCATCGAGTGTTATGACCTTGTTTGTTTTTCAATAAACTCTTACATTTTCCAGAGATGTCCATTTTTGGTTGGATGTATATTGTGTTGATTTCATCATTACATGCAGTATTGGGAAGAGTAGGGTTTCAAGGATTAACCTCTATGGACCGTAACAATACATAAATACATATATTGTATATTTACAGGGGGTCCGCGGGGTCTTCAAAAGTATTAAAAGTTGATAAATCAATTTAGCGAAAATGAAGGCTATTAAACGGCATTTTCCAAGGTATTACATTTTGTAGCTTGTTTTCAATAAGTATATAAATGGTCCAAAGAGGTTGTATTCTACAGTCTGCCTGAGTGTAATCATTGCGTAGGTGTGTAGTGTGATTCTGTGTAGTTTATTTATGGCATCCCGTTGGGTTTGACGTCACCTGAACAGGACATCGCACGCTCACTGCTTGATAGCGCGCGAAGGTCCGTTTACGCCGGTTGTTAAACAACATCGTTATGGAGAAATGCAAGCTTGCGTCCAAATGGTTGGAAGATAAGGAGGAAGGACAATCAATACTGTATATAGTCAATGTGAGGTAAAGTGTGTCGCCAATGTAACCGGTTAAAACTCCAAGTGGCGATGAGGTCTTAAAATGTATGGAAAGGGTCTTAAAAAAGGACTTAAAGGTCTTACATTTGACTTCAGGATTCCTGCATGTACCCTTTAAGATGATTAGCTCAGTAGGATTTTATTACGTATTCACTTTTTGGGTTCTACAGTCTCCAATGTGTAAGACAAATCTACATTTAAAACTAACCAATACCATTTCAAGGTCAATTGGAGCCCTGTGATAAATGATCTATTTATTAAAAACGCAGTGTGCACAGAAGCATGGATAACACATAGAAAACAACAGACTGCATGTGGGATAGCAGATGTGATTATAGGGAAACCATCTTTAACAAAGTCTCAGTGGATTATTTTATGAAGTTAAGATATTTTAATAAAAGGTATTTAAGAAGTTATAGTAAATGCAACCAATAGTTTGAACTGGGCAGAAATCTACTCAACGTTTTTTTTGTACTTCGTTTTATTGTAATTTAACATGAATGATTATACATAATGAATCCTTCAAGGACCGGACTGCTTTACGAGGTTCTCTGAAATCTGCTCACATGATTTTCAGTGAAAAGTCGGTTCATTGCTCATTCAGAGTTCATTGCAACCATAAGCTATAAAACTTGACAGCCTTCACACCGAGGAATGTGAACTTCATGATCAACTCTTCGGTTGTGTCATTTGTCACTGTGACCTGCTTGTTAATCTGAAATCTTTAGCACATGTACAGTAAATTCATTTATGTTGCCACAGAAACAGCTTTAAATGCAACACATGGTGTTTGTAAGGTGTCCTTAACTTGAGACTGTCCTGATGGTTCAGTGACTTATATTACCAGCAACGCCCTGACCTTGGTTGATCTGTAAAGGAGACACTGGTATTACATTTTATAACAATATGAGGACAACACAGAGATAGTATTGAAATCTGAATGATAAAACCACATTACAGTCATTGTGTATGTGTTAAAGTGCTTTCAGATGTATCTTTCTGCGACAGCATGCCTCTGAGGAGAAGCAGATTGTTTGGGATGATGCTTCTAGAGGACAGTGCTATTGGTCATTTATAAATGTAAAGATGCAGTACGTACTTCTGCCCGTACTCGTTTTGTTTATACTGTGAGTGCAGTTAGTGGCTATTAAAACACGTACTCACTGTTGTAAGATAGGATCCTGATAAATCTAAAGGGATAGTGTTTGCAGGCGATGGGCTCCAGCTGTAGGTCTGGTTTTCTACACGGAGCTGCTTCACTCGGCTCTGGAGGAAACGCAGAAGCTTGAATGAAGCCACGTCTGAGGGGCTGTGGGAGGCAGCAGAGTCCACAACATGGAGCCAGGGAGAGCAAGCTGGTGTCTGAGCTTCCTGATGGGGAAAAGACAGGCGGTATTCATTAATAATGAATGTATTCAGGATAGGGTTCTGTTAGAGCCTAGTGTTACACAGGAACAGTACATCAACCTTTGCACTAAGCGTCAGCTCTCCGTCAGGCCTCTCAGGCTCTCTCGGTCTCTCCTCACGAGACTTTGATGGTTTTCTGGAAAACAAACACACCTGCATTTACGAAATGTTGGTTGTTACAAAATCTCATTACTAGATGACAGAGTTATGAGTTAGCGGGCAAAGGTTATGTTACATCTATCCTATAAGACGCATATCGCAGTGAGTTGAGGCGGGATCATGCTTTTGAGAGGACAGACAGCTGCTTAGTAAGTCATCAGAGACCAGTTACCTGTCCCTTAACAACTTTGTCTTGCACCTGTGGGATAGCAAAGATTTGAGACAAACTTAAACATGGAAGAGCAGAACATCCTTTGACTTCTATTGAATGCTATATTTCTGCTTGCATCTCCAAATGGCATGGGAATCACTGCATTTATGTTCCTCTCTCTTTACTGAATGTGTTACCTCTCCAGTTCAGAGGTCAACTCTTCTTCAAACTTGCAGGCCAGACGAGCCGCAGTGTGCTCCTTCCACTGAGCCATGCTCCTCTGCACCTGCCTCAGCTCCAGGTCTTTGGCCCCCAGCTGTTTGCGGAGAGAAGCTGCCACTCCTCCTCCTCCGTCAGCTCCTCCATCACACATATGAGGCCAGCTCAGCTCCTCGATGTGTTCCTGCAGAAGCAGCTGATGTTCATTAATAATGCTCTGAGTGATGTACACATACATGAGCTTTACTGAGTGCATAGGTTCACACCTGAATGAGACGCTCCTTTAGAGAATCCAAGGCTTGGTCTCTGTCCAGCCTCAGCTGCTGCCTCTGGACGCTCAGTTCTCTCTCCTGAAAAAGCATGGACTTGTATTCATGTCCACATTTAATGGGCTGCATTTAAAAGCACCAGACAGTCTGAATGATACCTTCTCTTTGCTCAGCTGCTCAGTGGTTTGTTTTTGTGAATGAAGCTCCTGCTGCAGATGGTTAATCAAATGCTTCAACTGCTCTCTTAGTGTTCTCAGGTTTACACGAGCCTCGGCTGCTGTGGGACTGCACAGTACAGAAATAGAAGCACATAAGAACCTCAAAAGTATGCTTTGTAAACCAGATGTGTGTGTGAACCACAGTGGGATAGTAAGGGCTACCTGTGGGGTAGTAGCACAGAGCTCTGTCCCTCTCCACTCTGCTCCAGTAGGATCTGTAGATGCTGTGTCTCTGCTCCCAGCTCCTGGCTCCAGCGCCTGAGCCGCTGCTGTAGCTCAGCTGTGATCTGGTGGTGGCTGCTCTCTCTTTCTCCCAGCATCATCCGGAGCCCGTCGGACTCTTTCTCTGCCCTCTGCCTCTCCTGTGAACACAGATCACACCACGTCAGCACCACACTCTTCAGAGCCTTCTCCGTCGCTGCCCCCTCCCTCTGGAACTCACTCCCACAACCCATCAGACTGCACTGACCTCACCACCTTCAAAAAACTCACCTCTTCAATCTGGCTTTTAATGTGTGATTGTTTTTGTATTATTTGACTTTAACTTTAACTATATCTTTATTTGTTGTTCCTTTCTTTTCACTATATCTGTAAAGCGTCTTTGAGCACCTGTTATTATTGTTATGTGCCGCCACATGATTGCTTTCTGTGGTGTTCTTGCACCTGTGCCATCTGTCTCTGCATCCTCTGCAGCTCAGCCCGGTGCTTCTCTTTCAGGGTTTGGCACATCAGAGCCGTCACAGACTCCTGCTCCCGCTGCTGAGCACAGCTCTCACTCTCCATCTCCTGCACGCGCTTACAGTTGCAAAGCAATCAAAGAAAGACATTGTAATCAGGACACATTTCGATTGATTTAAAAATGGCAACGTTGTCAGTGTTGGGGTCACCTTACAGTTTTTAGTTCCACCACTTTCTGTTGGAGAGCCAGTGCTTTACTCCTCTCTCGCTGCATCTCACTCCTCATGCTCTCCAGGCTCTTTCTGTTCTGCTCTTGTAGTTTCCCACAGTGCATCTGCAAGTCTTCCTCGTTCTCTGCCTCCCACTTCCTCCTCTCCTCCTCTATTGTTTTGTGCACCTAAATGGCAGAATATACTTAGCATATCATGCAGTCGTGTAGCAAACATTTCTTTGTATATGTTTGGAGGAGTACTTTTTCCAAGGCTTCTTTATGCTGCTGCTCTTCACGTAGTTTTGCCTCCTGCTGCTGCGTCTCCAGAGAGTCCCTCAGCTTCTTTGCCTCCTCTTCTTGGAGCTGCCAGAATAGGAGAGGGTCACATTAAGTTTGTATTTTTAACTCTTTGTATAGTGAATGCTTCAATAATCATGAGGACAAGTTTTGATAGCCACTATTGCCGGCCATCTTAATAAATAATACCTGCATTTTTGGCAGAGCAAGGTGCCTTTAACCAAATAGTTTACTTTAAAGGTGGGGTACGTAAGTTTGAGAAACCGGCTGGAGATACACTTTTTGTTATATTCCATGGAATGCTCTTAACATCCCGATAGCAATGAATATCTTAAGTGCTTTGACAAAAAATCCATAACAAATTTCATCTGTGGAAGCCGTAGTACTGTAAAAAGCACGACCAATCATCTGAGCCGGCCCGGCTAAAGTAACTGGATGGCCTACCTGCCTGTCAGCCTTCCATCTGTGCACAAACTTATCTCGTGCCCTCATTGGTCATGTGCGCGTTCGTGTGTGTTGGAGGAGGGGCTCTGTAAGGTAGTGGCAGATTGTTTCCGGTTGTGTATTTTCTAATTCTAGCGCACTCGAGTTGGTTTCTCCAAAATGACCCACCCCACCTTTAATATAGTGTAACAGTGGATTTCATATTTTCAGGGAAACTCTGACCTGAATGGAACTTTTTAGGGACTCAATGTGTCGTGTGAGAGACAGAGCGTTTGCCTTCTCCGGCTTATTAACCTGAGGGCACAGGCAGCCAGCGGGAGTGCTACATCATTAATCAAACTGTCATTTGACGCATCATTAGTTTTTGACATTTGAATCACCTTTTGGATTTGCTGCTCATGAGCCAGAGCCATTTCTTTATTTTCCTTTTTCAGTGCTGCATCCTGTTTTAACAAAAGAGGAAATGTTAGTACTTGAAACCATGGCTTGTTGACTTAAAAAGAAGACACTTACCATTGTTTGGGCTTGCTGGTGGGCCTCTTTGCTTGCATTGCAGTGCTGTGTTTTCAGATGCTTTAGCGCCCCCTTCAGTCCGTCTCGTTCTGCCTGTAAGGCCCCACGTTGCTCCTGTACATCCAGCAGCTGCAGCTCCTTCTGGGCCAACATCTTCTCCTGAGTGCTCACTCTGACCTTACACTCTCCCAGATCACCCCTCATCTCACTGACTTTAAACTCTACTGCCTGATAGAAACAGACACACCAGAAATACAAGTGATAGTTAGTTAGTTAACACTGGATGTTGAAAGGATGCCATTTTTCCTTATAGAAATATATTTAAATGTGTGGAAATGAGAGTATGCTGTCATTAGGTTTCACCTCGATCTGATCCTTTTTCTGCCTCTGTTTCTCCTCCAGATAAGCACACCTGGTCCTCAGTAAGCTCTCGGCCTCTGTGACTCTCTGGAGCTCCTCACAAGTCTCCTCCAACTTCTGCACAAGTGAGTGAACACATAACCAGAGATATTTGAACACAAATGGAACATCTGTCTTCAACACTAAAACAAAAAGGCACATCCTCACTGTGGTCACTCACACAATAGAGAACATAGCTAAAATGATACATTCACAATAAAATATTCTTTGCTTACGTTTGAAACACAAACTATGTGAATCAAATATTTAAAAAAGGGTTAAAACAGATGAAGTGCCACGTTTTCAATCAAACAGACCAACGTGACAGCTTATCAATATTCTTTGAAGTTGTCGTTTTTTTCCAACATCTATTGTCTTCATTAAGTAAAAGTGATTGAATGAATAAAGAAATGTAATTGACAAAGAAACCCAATACTACCTTATCATTTGAATGAATACACTTTTTATTGGTTTTTATTTCCTTATATATGAAAAAGCTCTCATCATAATTAAACATAAGAGTTGTAGTAATAGTAGTTATAATGTTCTATGTTTTGAATATAAGAATTGTATTCTTATAGTTTGAATACTGTTGTTATTACAGGGAATATATTTCAATCGTATTATGGTTTAATATGATGATTATTGTTATAGAAATAAATATCCCTAAACACAGTACTTCTTGCGTGGACTCGAGCTTCTCTCTGGCACGCCGCTGTTCAGTGAACAGTTCTGTTTTGGCGTTATCCAGCTGTCGCTCCATCTCCTCCCTCTCCAGCAATGAAAAGACGACACTGCTGGGCTGCTTGTGGAAAAAATAAAAACATGTTAAAGGTCTCCTATTATACTGTTTTTCATCAATATATTATAGGTCTTAGATATATGCAAACATGTCTCTGAAGTGTTTGGCTCCAAATACCAAACAGATCATTGAAGCATCCCATAATACCCTCTGTTTCAGCCCTGTTTCAAAAGTGCTGATTCTCTGTCTGTTACTTTAGGTGAAAATAAGGAGCCACTCCCCACGCCCCTCTGAGAGAGATTTGGTTAAAAAGAACACATTAGGCGCGTTCACACCGCAGTACTTTTCCCATTTTAGTTCCGATATAGTTCCGAAATGTCGCGTTCACACCAAAAAGAGCCCGAACTAGAATTAGTCCATCAGAACCTTTTCCACCCCCTTTTCCGTCCCTGCTAGAGAGCAGGGACTTTCGTGGGAGAAAAAGGTTCCTATTTCTGATTGGCTGGGCGGATTGCAAACCACGGCCCGTAAAACTCCCAAAAGGTTTTGTGAAGCCGCCATTTTATTATCCTCGCATTAGCATTATTAGCATTAGCATTAGTTAGAGACTAACTTATGGCAACACAAAAGGAAACATGGGAGCGGTGGAGTGATGAAGAGGTTTCGGCGTTCTGGCCGTTTACTCGGAAGGCTTCAGCAGAAGCTGCTGGGAGTCCCAGCAGCTTCTACTGAAGCCAGTCCCCAACTCCGGGGACTTCCGGCCCGGGCATTTTGGGTGGCAGTATACGCCGTGAAGTGGTTTGCGGCCTGCCAGTAAACCCAAAGAAGAAGAAGAAGAAGAAGAAGAAGAAGAAGAAGTGACGTCAGAGGCTTCATTTGCGTAATCCTCCCTCAGGGACTTATTCCGGTGTAAACGCAATCTGTACTGAGTTCTCATGAACCTTTGTGAGAAAAGTACTGCGGTGTGAATGCGCCTAATGGTGCTCTAGGAGGAGATGCAGGTGATAAGGGGGGGGTTACGTTGGTTGGTGATTGGCTAATGGTTACACAAGCCAACAAATCGTTATGACATCATAAAGTGGCCAAAATCTGATCAGCTCATTTTCAGACAGGTTTTTATAGAAATGGATCAGGGCAAAAAGAGAGAGAATCTTTTTTCCTGAAACTTTCAGAGTCTCTTTCCACAGAGGGGACACGTGTTGATGTAGAAGAGACATGAACAAGTGGATCTTGCACAATAAGTCACCTTCAAAACATGTATATAAGCACAAGCAAGTATTGACAGACATCTTTCTATATTCATGTTTCATTACCCTCTCTGTGAAGCGTCCTTCCTTCAGAGTCTGCTTACGCTGACTCTGCGCTGTGAGTTCTTCCTCCAGGTGTCTGACCTCGAGCACACAGACCTCTCTCTGCCTCTGCAGCTCATGCATCTGGACACTACAACAAGTTTTATTATTGCAATGCTATTCTTTACATAACACAGGATTATGATGATACATTTTAATGTAGACAGCTTTGTAGAATGAAGTTTGTTTTATACCTAATAGCATCCTTCCCTGCTCGGCTGTCTCTCAGAGTGACCCCCAGAGTCCTCTTCTCCTCCTCCATCTTTGCTGTCTCTACAGTCAGTCGCTCTAATTCCTGCAAGGCATGCTGGGATGTACACCGAAATCTGTAAGTGTTATTCAGTCTTCTGGACATGTTCATATAAACGGCTGGATATATAAGATGCTACACTTTACCCTTCTCCTCTGTTGAAGTTCAGAAAGGGAGAGCTCAACATCTTTTAACTGTGTCTTCTTCCTCTGCAGCGTCTGCTCCTCTTTCTCACATTTCTAAACCAGACAGACGACACCAGTAAATGGATGTCTCTTACACATGCACATGGGGGACATTTGGCAAATGACTCCTAATGTGATACTTATATATATCACCGTCCACTCATTCTCACTTGTTGGAGGGTAGAGAGCCGCCCTTTCATCTTGGCCCAATCAGAATGCATCTTCTGTGACGTCCTCTCCGGCCTGCATCTGCCGCTCCTTTGATTCAGTTCCTCTTCTGTGTCCTTCTTATTGTGATCCAAAGAACACACATGTCTGGGACACACACACGATGTACCAGTCAGAAATAATAATAGTTTTAATTGTATAAAACACTGAAGAGAGGTCTGAAAATGTACCTGTAAGAGTCTCTCTTGTTGCGCGGTGCCTTACGGACAGAAGGACTTCTGTTGTGTACTTTTCCATAAGAGAAGCTTCGGCCTTTGTCAACATAAAAAGGCACAATCGTTGACATTTAAAGATTGTATTAGTTCTTTTTAGGGTTGCAAAATTCCGGGAATTTTCAAAGATGGAAACTTTCCATGGGAATTAACGGGAATTTTCAAAATTGATTGGGGAAAGTATATTTTAGCATAATCTTGACTAAAACAAACAGATGCCATTCAAGTACACTTGAATATCCATGCCATAGCACACTGCATGGCTATTGAGACCACACCCCCTTCAGGCACTGTGCATTCCTCCATCACATGCACAGATGAGTAATATTTAACTCAACATTCCTGTTTTCGTTCTTCAATTAAACAAATAATTGTTCAATAAAATAATTAAAACTTGTTCTGTTCTACTTCTGTCCTAAAAATCTGTTGAAATGTCATGTTTTTTGAATATTTCCAAAATTCCCCAGCTTAACTTCCCATGGAAACTTTCCGGAAATTTACCGGAAACGTTCTGCCCCTTTGCAACCCTAGTTATTTTTGATGCTGTGGACTCATAAAGAAGTGCAGAGTAAGATCTTGCTTTACCTGATGATGATCTCGGCTCACTTTCCCCCTGTGTGTGTGTGTCACTGTGGTTGGTACAGTGGTCCTCCATGCCTGTGACAGACTGAAGGAGAGAGCGCCATCCTGGGAGAGATCACACCGGATGCTTACTGTCATTTCAAGCATGCATTTTTAAGATTGATCTTTTTTTGTTTGTGCTGTCCGCTCTTGGGTTTTTGCTGAAAAAATGGGAATACTTTATATATGTTGAAAAGTAATTATACACACATCAAGATGCAGAAAAACAGCATCATTAAGGAAGAGGTTAACGCCTGCACACTAACTTTATAGCACAACACTTTTTTAATAACTATGTTTCGACCCTAATTGGATCTTTGTCGGGTCAGAATGGTTGAAAAGTGGAAACCTCAGCCATTTTCTTTACAGCATACACACCAATAGATAAACAAGCTTAATGATAGCAGGTGCTGTTCACCTACTCTCTTTTTAATTGGAATTACAAATGAAACAACCTCTGTTGTCTGGAAGGCTTTTTTCATTTTGTTTTTCCTAAAGTCAGAACTTGATGTGTGTAAATGTTTTTATCGTTTGAATGTACTCAAGTCTTTGTGCTTAAATGTTCATTGTTAAAACTGTGTTGCTGCTCACTTGGCCAATGGGACAAACATGGTTAACTAAAGCATACAGTTTAAAAAATATAACATATACATCTTATTTATTAACATTTGATCATAATCATTATTAAACTACAATGGAAAATATTGCATTAATTTAGAAGAATTTAGAGAATGCATTCTAAATGTATAGACATTGGGTCTAAAGAACCTCTAAAATGAGTTATATCTCAAATCACATACAAAAAATTTAACTTTTACGGCATGCATTAACAGGGTATATGCAGGAATCCTGAAGTCAAATGTAATTCCTTTTAAGACCCTTTCCATACATTTTAAGACCTCATCGTCACTTGGAGTTTTAACCGGTTACATTGGCACACTTTACCTCACATTGACTATACAGTATTGATTGTCCTTCCTCCTTATCTTCCAACCATTTGGGCGCAAGCTTGCATTTCCCCATAACGATGTTGTTTAACAACCGGCGTAAACGGACCTTCGCGCTATCAAGCAGTGAGCGTGCGATGTCCTGTTCAGGTGACGTCAGATCCAACGGGATGCCATAAATAAACTACACAGAATCACACTACACACCTACGCAATGATTACACTCAGGCAGACTGTATAATACAACCTCATTGGACAATTTATATACTTACTGAAAACAAGCTACAAAATGTAATACCTTGGAAAATGCCGTTTAATACTTTTTAATAGCCTTAATTTGCGCTACATTGATTTATCAACTTTTAATACTTTTTAAGACCCCGCGGACCTCCTGATTAAGTTGTTAAACATGTTTTGTCATTTTTAAATATGACTTCCATCCACAGTCTCTGCAGTCTCTCACCTGGCCGCCTGTGGATGTGGTTTCTGACCTGCTCCGTGCACACTGAGTCCAGGTCACTGTCAATGGACACGGTGTCAAAACTCCACACAGGAACTCCTGCAAGAGAAACAAGCCGACAAGTGTCACTGTTGGAAGTGAATACATTCCCGAGAGGATTAGCTTCACAGTGTGTGCATGTCAGGTCCAGGATGTTATCTGTGTGTGGTACCTGCCAAACACCTGGCCTTAGGAGAACAGCTGTTGTTGAGCTGTGTGGTTTCATGACCTGTTACAGCCTCTGTTCTGTGAGAGACTGAAAGAGGGGAGGGACTAAATCCATCTGTAAAGGGCACAATGAAAAGTAAATAATACAAGTCTAAGATATGCTGTAGACACAATAGAAAAGTGATGGTACAAAGCATTCTCTTGGTGATACAGTTGTTAAGCATTTCTTTGAATAGGACTCCAGCAAAGGCCATGGGGGCGCTTTAAATCAAAATGTGCTTTCATTATAATTAGTTTATTTATGTGCATAAATGTGACATTCTGGGATAAGGGAAAGATCATGTCCAAAATGAAAAGGTGTTATCCTCTGAGTCTTATTCCAAGCAATATACCCATGAGATGTAGGAAGGGAAAAGTACCATAAAGGGTTTGTAAAGAGAGTACTCACGGCTGCTATCATCACCGAGCCTCTGTGGTGAGCTGTATCTCTCTCCAGCTCCTGCTTTCCTCCTGCTTGATGTGTTTACTCCGTGGCTATTATAAACACATTTCTCCTCACTCTGACAGTCGTGAGCACTCTCTGTGTTTTCACTGCTCTCCCCTGTCAGTCCTCTTCTGTCAACATTAAGTATAAAGTGTTCACGCTGACAGTCAGATATCTCTGTCCTCCTAGTCACTTCCTCTCCGTCGTCTAGTTTCTCTATATAACTCTCTGGAAATGTCCATTCCACCATCTCGTCTCTGAAGCGGCTGACAAAGTCCTCGGTGCAGATGCTGTCTGAAGGAGGGAGGATTCCTGCTTCCATCCTCCCCTCGTTACAGGTGTCTCCCAGCAGCCTCTCCAGCCTCCAGAGGACCTGCTCCCTCTGAAACTCCATTTCCTCTTTGTCTCTTGTCCTTCTGTCTACTCTCTGAATAGTAGGACCTCCCCGACAGCCTGAGCCCCTCTCTGGGGGAAGAGCAGAGGAGACAGGGTGCTTTTGAGTAAAGAAAGAAAGTGTTCTCGAGCATTTAAGAGGTTATTATTCCATGTAAAACGTTGTTTCTCAAAGTGAAGGCCAGCGGGCCCTTACACACATTTTGTGCCAACCCTGAATGTGACATTACTTAGATCAATTATATTTCTTAATAATTTGCGGTTCATTTAAATAGTTTTACTTTTTAAAGATTTCATACACCACTGTGACCAATGCGACCTTTTTTTTTATGTGAGCACTTTTCCTGTGCAGCCCCAAATCATATATTGGCTGCTTTAATTGGCAGTCATCAACACTTTGAAAGCCCTGGTATAGAATGCTTTAAAGTTATGGAATAAAAAAATAAAAGTATAATATGCAACAAAAAAATATATAACATGCTGCAAAGAAGTTGTTTCCCGACTCAGACTGCAAGGAATCTGGGTGTGACCCTAGATAACAACCTGTCCTTCACTGCAAACATCGCTGCTTCAACCCGCTGCTGCAGATACACGCTTTACAACATCAGGAAGATACGTCCCCAGCTGACACAGAAAGTCGACTCAGGTTCTGGTCCAGGCTCTCGTCATCTCACGCCTAGACTACTGCAACTCCCTCCTGGCTGGTCTACCTGCATGTGCCATCCGACCTCTGCAGCTCATCCAGAATGCAGCGGCTCGTCTGGTCTTCAACCTTCCTAACATTCTCCCACACCACTCCGCTCCTCCGCTCCCTTCACCTGGCTTCCGGTAACTGCTAGAATCCACTTCAAGACACTGGTACTGCGTACCATGCTGCGAATGGATCTGGCCCTTCCTACATCCAGGACATGGTTAAACCGTACACCCCAGCGCGTGCACTACGCTCTGCATCAGCCAAACAGCTCGCTGCACCCGCACTGCGAGGGGGACCGAAGTTCCCATCAGCAAAAACACGTGGGTTTGCTATCCTGGCTCCAAAATGGTGGAATGAGCTCCCCATTGACATCAGGACAGCAGATAGCTTACACACCTTCCGGCGCAGACTGAAAACTCATCTCTTTCGACTCCACTTCGAGCGATAGAATTACTAACAAAGAACTGCTAACAAAGCACTTATATACTAATAAAGGACTGGCTTATCTAAAGCCAGTTGAGTAGCACTTGAAATGTTTGGCTCTATGAAACCTGATGTACTTATATGATTCTGTTTTCTTCAAGGTTGTGTCTTCCTGGTCGAATGTACTTATTATAAGTCGCTTTGGATAAAAGCGTCAGCTAAATGCAATGTAATGTAAAAGTATATCAAAAAAGTATTTAAAAAAACCCAATTAAGACACCTGGCTTACTCTAATACTGAACGGTTTCAACATTTTATTCATAACTCAAGGACACAGTTAATGACAAAACCCCTCATGATGAGCAGTAGTTATTTCTTTCTAAAGAACATAAGCAATTGTTTCGTCTATAACGATACTACTACTAATGACATTTTACCTGAAGTTGGCTCTTTCGTTGGAGTTTGTATCAAATCAAGACAAGACATGGGAGTGTCGTTTGTTTGAGTTGTACTCCCAAGCCCAGTGTCTTTGCTCAGAGAATGGCTCCACCTCAGAGGATCTAGAGAACAAACAAACAGATAATTACCTGAACAAACATCTCTAAATCAGGCATAAGGAGTTCGTTGGTGACATTACCCGCATCATCGTTGCAATCACGCTCTCTGGGAATTGCCAGATGTTTCGTTGGCTGGATCTGTAGGAATTAATAACACTTACTTCTTTAAATATTTGTATCCAGATTACATTTTGGCTACATTAATACAGAAAAGCAGAAACATTAAGGGGAATCAGACCTGCAGTTGACCAAGCTGAGCGTCCAGAGCATCTAAGAGGAGGTCACACTGGTCCAGTTTCAGAGGAGGAGAGTCCCGTCCAGACTCACAGCTGTTGTCATTCAGATCTGTCAGGGCAGACGAAAGGGTCAACAGTGAGTGCCATCTTCCAATAAGGTGAGATATTAATAAAGGTAAAGATGTACTGCTAATAAAACCTGTGGAAAAAAGCTCATCTGTTTCCTCTGCATCTCTTTCCGCTCCGTCACTATCTCGGTCAGCCATGTCTTGTTGCTAAAGAGAAGAATGCAAACACTCAGTCACTGAACACAACATGTCCAGCAGTGTCCACCACTGGTTAAGGTTGGGCAGTCATAACGGGGGGGGGGGGGGGGGGGGTTGTATGCTGCTCAGTTGTCCAGGGAACCAAGACAATTCAGCCAAACTCACTGCCTTTCACTAAGAAGACTATAAATTCCTTCCTGTCCCTCCCACTGCCCAAAATAAACATGAAGGACAGGTACAGATCATTGTGCTCCAACATTGTAGCTAATGCTGGAGTTTTCCTCTCAAATGTTTATGACTGAAATGCCCAGTGGAGGAAGAAGTACTCAGATTTTGTACTTAAGTTAAAGTGAGTGTAGGAAATATACTCCAAGTACAAGTTACAGTCCTGCAATCAAAAGTTACTCAAGTAAAAGAACAAAAGTATTAGCATCATAATATACTTACAGATAAGTACTCATTATGCAGATCGGCCCGCTTTCAGATTTATTATATGTTTTGATTACAATTATTGATGCAATAATGTGTTTGATCAAAACAGGTAAATGTGCAGCTAGTTTTGAATTTAACTGATTATGTTAACTAACTAAAGTCTAATTTAAGTGTTGATTATATTTTACATTATTGATCAAAATCTGTAAATCAGTGAAAGTACACAATTTAGCTCTGTAGTGGGGTTGAAGTAAAGTAGCAAACAATGGAAATAATGGAAAAAGTACAAGTCTCTCAAAATTGTACTTAAGTACTTAGTAAATATACTTGGTTACTTTACACCTCTGAAAGTGCCTTATATCGGCAATGTGTCAATTATCTCAAGTTTTTAAACACCACTAACATCAACACATAGTTAACCTGATTCACAGAAGACACATAAACTCACTAATGATTTCATTTGCATGGAGCTACTAAACGAATATCACATCTTCAATTCCAAATCATACCGCCACCAGTTTACTGATACACATGCACACACATTACTCACTTACTTTAGGGTAAAAGATTGAAATCTCCTCTGAACTTGACTCCCTGCTGAAGCTCACAGAGCTGAGTCCTGAGCTGTCCTGAGTAACGGGAGCTTCAGAAGGTTGTCCTGGAAACGTTCAAACAGCGCAGGACAGTGAACACACCGCGGGAAAGTTACGGTGTGTCCACCACACCAATGTGATAAAAGTCAATATTGCTGGTTGTATCTGTTACATTGGTTGCAGCCAATAATTGACAACAATTAAAAATAATACAGGTTGTGTTGTAAAATGTGTTACGTTACTCCGTTTAGAGAATATACGTTTCCAAATAATATTGAGTGGCATTTCTTCAGCTCTGCACAACATTTGACACTCACTCGCCACCACAGCTATTAGTCAGTCGAAGAGATGATCTCTCTGCACTGAACGGAGCAGAGTCGTTAACAGGAAAAGCTGTCTGCTGTGTGAACTTCAGGGAAACTCTATTCCTACAAGGGGATTCACAGCCACCTCACAACGCGCTGAACTGCCCCTTAAAGTTTCTGAGTCAAGTTGTTGACCTCCATGTGTGAGAGCTGCTGTCACGCCAATTTCCTGAAAACTGGTGAGATTAGATACAGTTTAGATCAGGGGTGCCCAACCTTTTTTGAACTGAGAGCTACTTTTAAAGTTGCCAGTCTGCCGAGATCTACCAGTCCAAATAGAGAGGCGTAGCCATTACTGACAGCCTACTACCAGGTACATACACACTTCTACTTGTATAAAACTGACCTTTGTATGATTAATACTTCATAAAATACTGCAGATCCTTTATCTTACCTATTTCTAATCTACACACATACAAGTATTTAACTGAAGTTACACAACAGTGTTGTTGATACAGAGTTGGAGTTTATTCACACGTCACATACTACAGTGGGTAATGTATTCAAGAAACATTGAACAGTGCTGCCACATATGACACAGGACAAAAAGAAAAGACTCTGAACCCTTTCTTTGCCATTATATAAAAATAGTGTTGCTACAAAAGTATAAATTACGCTTACTAATAAGACAACTCAGATCTGAAGCTATACAGGAATCTGCTGCCAAAGTGCAATAAAAAAGACAAAATTAATAGAATCAAACCCTTTTTTTGTTGCATTTTAGTAGAGTATAAAAATAAATGCCTTTAAAATAGGATGCAAGCAACACTAGTTTCTTAACCTGAATTGATAATAGACTATAATCAATTTAAACAGAACAGATCTTAATGTTTGCATTCTTATACCATTTTGTACAATAATTATAATGAATAAGTTCAAACAAAATAAAACTTACAGCTGATTAATAACGGTATCTAACTTGAGTTTTTATTATGTCAAAAACCTGTTGAAATGCTAGTTATTTTTACTGTCCCCCAAAAGCGCGTTGGCAGCCTCCAGGAATGCTTCTTTCACAACTTCGCCGTCTTTGAAATACTTCATGTGTTTCGCAAGAACGTGACTGACGATAAGATGCTATGGTAGCAGCCTTGCTCTTGTTGTTGGGCCTGGTGAAAATGGACTGCTGTGCATTTAGCTGTCCTTTCAGGCCCCTCCCCTTTTGGGAGCGTAGGGCAGAATTAGGAGGGAATTCCGTCTCGCAGCGTTTGTGCACTGTTTTGAAATGCCGCTCCTAAATTACCCTTCTTCGATAAAGCCACGCTCGCATTGCAGATGAGACAGATGGACTTTGAATTGGAATAGATACAAAAATAATCATCCTCCCACTCGGAGTGAAAATTATATATTTTGTTTTTTTTTGCTTCTGCCATAATTACGGTCTTGTGTGTGCGGACTGTCACTCCTGCAGTGTTGACACGGACAACATCAGCGAACTAGTGCACTGCCCACCAGCCACGCCCCGATACATGGGGTCACGCCGGCCAGAGGCGAAGTCCCTCCCTTTCCGAAAGCCTCCATGGGACCCCGGAAGCGGAAAATTATACATTGAAGTCAATGGAGAGAGAAAGGTTATCTTTTGATCCCGTTTGAATTGTGCCACGAATGACACATATGATGTTTGTCAATTTAAAAGAACATTTTGCAAGTCAAAAAAATAAAAATGTGTCGTAAAACTGTGAAGTTACACATTTTTTCGTGTGAAACCGCTCAGTGAACTACAGGTCTCTCGTCTCGCACAACACGCGTCACCAACATAAAGATGGCCGTCACGTTAGCACATTTCACCACATTCTTTCAGAATGAGAATAAAAGTATTTTACGAGGTGAAAATCACTACAAGTCTGGGCACGTTGGTTTCGGTGAGTAATATGAGTGCAATGTGTAACGTTAATGTCAGCTAGCTAACATTAGCTAACAAGGTACACTAACGTGTTTTGTTTTAGTAACTAGTTTTCTCCTTAAGAAATTCGTGGTCTCTGTGTATGCTGTGGATAACATTAGTGTTCACAAGAACAAGGTACACTCCCGTGTTTTGTTTTAGTTGCTCTTCAGATTGAAGCGGACAGTTTTTTATCGACTATACTGTATGTGTGATCTCCTTTTTCTCGTTGTGTCATTTGACTTTATTTGCTGTGTGTAGATTCAAAGATTTAGGTTATCTAGGCACAGCTGTGTGTGACTCCCTCTGGTACACTGGTATGTGTTTTCCTAATGTAGAGAGCATTGATTAATTAATAAACTACACACTGAGTCTAGATCCTGACCAAATCCTTTTTTATTGTTGATCAAATGTTTTTCAAAAATGTATTCATACACATTTAGAAAAATACAATGTACAATCACAACAAATACAACACAAATTACAAAAAATACAGAAAAAACAAACAATAACAACAATCAGACAAGAGGACAAAACTATGGAAAAATAAACCCTCCCACCCCCAGATCCGGACCATACTTGTATTATTGCTCATTCAATCTATTATAGCATGCTAACAAATGGTACTTACTTTATTTTTACAGATCTGCATGGGAGACGATGGCGCGATGCAGAGCGCTGTCTGTGATTGTGCACAGGAGATGTACAAATGCAGCCACGCTGCAGCATTGGCAATATTTGCCATGTGGCAGATCAGCTCCACAGATGTGAGTGCCAGTGGAGGAAGCCTGGCACTTAAAAAGTAGTCCAGTCGGTGTCTCAACTTTACCAACAGCGAGAGGAGACATACAACCCACTGGCCAGAGACATCGCCAACTGTCAACTGGGGGGTTGTAAACGAGGCCGAAGGGGTGAAGGCTTTTGTGCAGGCCTATCGGGTGACAGTGTTCGAGTCTGGTCTCTTTGTGAGTGAGTCGGGTGTTTTGGGAGCATCACCCGATGGACTTGTGCAGCCATCTGCCCTGCTGGAGGTGAAGTGTCCACACAGCCAGAGGAACATGACCATCGCGGAGGCAGTCCAGTTACCATCCTTCTGTCTTCGTGAGGAGGGTGGGTCATATATTCTCAAGGATAATCACCCATACTGGCACCAGTCCAAGGGCAGCTGCATATCACAGACCGGAGTCTCTGCTACTTTGTTGTGTGGACCACGAAGGAGGTGATCATCATCCCCATCCCCAAAGACCCTGCATGGCATGGAAATCTCCTCCTGGAAAAATTCTACACCCAGCATATGCTCCCTGTGTTGGCCAGTAGAGGTAGATTGTGGTGGAGATGCTGAGCAGTTATTTAATTGTTGCATGTAATTATTATTATTCTGCGTGCTTCTTAGTTATTCCATCTTTTGCTGTAACATGGATCTGTATGTAACTCTATATTTACTTGTTATCTACCACACTTCCTTCTACATCATACACCATCATTATACATGATGGTGTATATAGGATATATATATTTGTATACATATCTGTAAATTGTATAATTTTATTTAAACATCTTTTTGATCTCTCAAACTGAGTAAAATTGACAATAAAGTTGACTTTGAAAAATATATATATTCTTTATGAAAATAGTTGACTGTTGTCAAATGAATCCAAATGAAACGTTGGATTGAACTACAACTACGCCTTTAAATCTCTACGGACTGTTTTTCAGTGGGATGGCAAGTTCCTATCTTTAAACATGTATTAGTTTTTTCTCAGAACAGATTTGATTTTCTGAAGTTAATTTAACTTTGCCGACCATGTAAGGTCATCATTAAAAAGTACAATTAATTTGTTTAGGGTTGACTAAAATAATGAAAAACATTTAATTTGGATAATTTACTGACAGAATAAGAAACTCAATGATGCTCTACTCACCTGTTCCTTTTTTATAAAGTGAAACAGTTGAAACGATAGATTTTAGTAAACTTAAAAACAACCTTCTCCAAAAGCTATCAAGGAATATACCGAATACTTACAATACAATACCTGTTACTCATATATTAATGTCTTTGTAACTTCAGTAAAACCACTACCTCACTCATTTCTTTCATTCATCACGGTTCAGTAAACTAAGTGATACATGAACCAGTTTAATCATTATAATAACGTAGGATGGCAACTCTTTGAAACTGTAGGTGGCTCTTAAAAGAGCCGTTGTGTTTGGGTGTGCTGGTCTCAGGTCAGTCTAAGCCCTCTCTCCACGGATGCGGCGGGCCAGCTGGATGTCCTTGGGCATGATGGTGACCCTCTTTGCTTGGTTCATCTTGGGGGGCAGCTACATGGATGTCGGTGCAGTCCACAATCATTGTGCAGTTGAAGGCAGAATTAATGTATTATTGACTCCGAATGAAGCACAACTTCATGTCATACAATACAATGACTTTATTTGTAATTGTGTAAAAAAATATGAGTATTGATTAGCAAGCAGGACCTGCAGGAACAGAGAATGGTGATGGATGGAGCTGGGAAGAGAAGAATAAAGAAAACAGATCAACTTTATTATCGGATATTAAAAATTCAATTTCAAAACAAGTTGCCGCTCCTACAGTTTTCTAGTATGTAAAGATGATTTCACATGACCTATGCAAAATATCACACTCAATACATGTGTGTCTCTGGGGGGTGCATTGTGCCTTTGATGTATATAAATAATATACCATAACCAAATACTATTACGTACAGTGGAAATCAGGTTGCCAGAGCAGGTCAGTGTGCATGTTCCTCAACGTCTCAGCAGTTACAGGTGAGGTAAA